AGAAGAGCAGTCCCAATGTCAAACACACCCTTCTTCAATTAGATTCCCCATCCACTTGATGCCACCCTCTGCAACCCTATCTGCATCCCTTATCTTCTCACATCTCCAGTTGATCCAGCTCACCCAGTGAACCTATGTTCTTTCTCATGAGAACATTCTAAGGGGGGATGGTAGGCATTCAATAAGATGCTAATAGATTGACCTATAATCTCTTCTCCCTCATTGCAACCTACATCTTTACTGTAACACTTTGGACAGGGTGGGCCACAGTTACTTCAGCACCCTGTGCAAAAAGGTACCGAATGCTATCCCCCTCCCTTCCCTCAGGAGGGGGAAGGGTCAATCCCTAGTGTCCAAAAAGATGCCAAAACTGGGAGCATTTCTGCTTTCTGAAGTAAAGCTGAGGGTGGCATTCATAATTGATTCATTCATTTTGGCACCCCTGGTGAAGTTGCACTCTGTGCAAGAGCACATGTGGCATATGCCTAAGGGCAGCCCTGATTTAGAGGATAAATGCAGGGAAAAGAGTCTCATTTTGTGTACTACATATGATTTTTAGATGTTCAATTAAGCCTCCCAGAAGGTAAATAAACCACTACTCCAAGTGGGGCATCACTTTTGAGAGGTAATATGAAACATTCAAATAAAAACATAAATCAAGAGATAAAAGGAAAGTAAATCCAGGGGCCTGTCTCTTGCCTCAGCTAAACTTGATCTAAATCTAAACTTACTCAAAACCTCTATCAAAATCCAATAATGTTCAAACTAAATCTAATCTTAAAGCTGTCTTCAATGTGTTGAATGATGGCTTTTAGGTTAGATTAAGTTAAGAATAAGTTCATATTTTGATTAGGGTTAGATAAAGAAGAGATTTTGATTGCGTTCACATAAGGTATAAGTTTTGATTAAGTCTAGCAGAGGTGAGGCCCTGGATGCAAATGGATGTTGTATAGCCTTTGTGGGCAGTGACATCACTAAAACTTAGTGTAGGTGAATGCCTGGTCATGGTCATATAAAACACTTAGAAATATACACCTACAATCATCATCTGAAGAAAGTGATCTGGATTTGTCCTGGTTTTGTGGTCCTTTTTGCCTTGGATGATTGTAAAAAGTCATGACCTGTTTTGGCAATGTCTGGCCATTTTTCTTGCCTGTCACCTGAGAAAAATAATTAACCCTACATTCTCAGACAAAGTTCAGAAAGACTGAGTGAGGGGGAGATACCTGGCAAGCTCTCTGGATGTGTGTTGGTGCTGTCATCTTTGCACTCCTTGGATATTTAAAATTCATTGCAATCCTGGTGTCCCCTGGACTCACAAGTGGAATAAAGGTTGGAGAGATGCCTTGTCCTCTCCTGCCTGCAGCACACTTAAGATCAATAATCCATTAATTCCATACACAAGGGTCAGGATGACTGAAAGTGGCAATGGGGACACACTCACTCTGGATACTTGGTATTGGCCTCCTTGCACTCCTTGGATGACATGTATTGAATGACACCTCAGCTAACCCTGGACTCATGCTGGTGAGAACTGGATTGCATGAGATCTTCCATCCAGAGTCTTTCCTCCCTCTTTCACCTTCCTCATGACTGTGGTCTTGTGATGTGTCAAGCATTACACAAGTTAAACAAAGTTAGCTAGCCTGTCCTTGATGTCATAATTGTGAACATAGATAAATCACTGTCTTAATCAAGGTGTATGCCTAAATACTAGCTTTATAGTTAAAAGTACCCAGTATGTGACTATCTTAAGGCAATTTTTTTTACCCCTTCCCTGTTGCTGTCAGGACTCTGATACTGTTAACAGGGGTAACACGATGAGGGCCCTGACAAAGATACTCAAAATTCCTCATTCTGTTGCACCTGATTACAATGCAACTGCCAAATACTTTTATCTTGAAGTCACACCTCCCTGGGAGAAAGAGTACTTTGAAAGTAGAGTTCTTTGAGCGTATGAGTCAAGCCCTACTGTGATTTTCGATTGTTATGACACGTGGCGCTATTTAGGAGGTGGGGTGTGCAATAAATTAAAAATCACTGCGTATGTAGGCTGAACTCGCATAGACCTAACGCTCGCATAGACCTCACGTTAGGCCTACAAGGTCATCATAACACTTATGCATGGCCCAGTGTATCTAGGATGAAATATTACACATCCTTCTGCAATCAGTGGAGTCCACTACGCTTTTTTCACGATTGCACTCATGAACCAGGAGGTGGAAAGGTAAAACACGATCAAGGCTCAAGGTGACTCACATTTTAGTACGAATACCCTTTTCTCGGCAAGACATGTGGCAACCATTCACGGGAAATCAAGAATCAATAAGAGGCAAGCAATCTAATCCTACATTCTTGACTGGGAGACAACTTTAATGGGAATCATGAAGTTAGGATTTTGATCGCTCGACCTAGGAACAAATTCCCAAGGAGCTTCCTGGATTGGGGAGTTGAAGGAGTCCAAGAATTTCTACAGGATCTCATGTCCAATTCAACAAAAATGGAAAATGAATGGAATAATAATTAATTAATGAGGGGGAGGGGAAAAGACCATCTCCCCTGCCCCTCCAGCTGGGGCCTCCATGCCTTGGGGATTTTGCCGTCCCTTGGCGGGCTTTTGTTTCGCTTCGTTCCTCTTTCGTATGAACACGTGCTCCCATCAAGAGAGTTAGTGATATCAAGAGGCGATTTCGCCCATTTCGATATCACGTGTCGAGGTCGGGCNTCCAGTTTAACCCGCAACCTCTTGTGAGGAACGGTATCGAAAGCTTTCGCGAAATCTAAATAGACGATGTCCACGGGATTCCCCTTATCCCTCTCTTCCGTCGCCCAGTCGTAGAATTCGAGCAAATTGGTGAGACAATTTCGACGCCTCCTAAAGCCGTGTTGAGAGTCCCGAATGAGCGCGTTTCCTTCGAGGAAATCCAAGAGATGGTCCCTTAGTATGCTCTCCATGATCTTCCCTGGGTTACTCGTGAGACTTACCGGCCTGTAATTTCCTGGATTACTCTTTTCGCCCTTCTTAAAGATCGGTACATCATCGGATCATGCATTGCCCGGCGCGGTGATGGGTGCTGGCCACAGTGTGCCTATAACGGGAAAAAGACCACGGCATGGTATTTTTTTGGTCATATTTGGGGGTCTTCAAGGAAAGTTAACGCAAACTCCGTCTTCTGATTGGTGCATACATATTCCACTAGATGCCAGTAGTGTTCGTTTCCCTTGTGCCATGCGGCTACTCCATCGATCAACTGTAACCTCATCCTCGATCATACTATATTGCCTTACGAGCGCTCCTCTTTAATCCGTCGTGAAACAGCCTAGATGTATCCCCAGGCCTCATATGATTGCGCTGGGCGTAGATTTAAGGTAGGCCTACGCTAAAATAATTTACCGTTAGTTAGCTGCGAATTCCTGAAGGGATCGGGTTTTGTCATTACCATTTTTGTGAATGGCAATCATCTCATTTTTATATTAGGCCGTAATTCATGAAGCCATTCAGAATCAGTATCATTACTATTATTAGAAATTAGCATTTCTTTGCCTTAACTTAATTTTTTGCCTTACACAGTGTGTATTATTTGATCTAGATGAAGATGCAGGATTATTGTATAAAATCTAGTTGCAGCAGATGACAGTCCCGCCCAGTTTGGTTCCAGGCTGATGAGACTGAGGTTGCAAGAGGTTCGGTATTGCACTTGTATCTTCGCTACTCATGCTGCTTCATTGCTCATGGTTTAAATGCTTAGTTGGTTCCCTCCACTTTGATTGTTGATGGCATGCATCTCTGAATTGGTCTCTTGTGGATGGATTTCCAAGATATCAGGAAATATTGGACCTGCTGACTTTCCTCTGTCAGTCACAAGTGTGGAATTAGACATCTTTGAACACCAGTCTGCTGTCGCCAAGTGGCAATCTCACCAAGGACCCAGATTTTTATGTTAACTGGCTTTCAGATCTGTGGTCTTTTCTCTTCCTTCATGGTTGTGTTAAGATCATGATTATCAAACCTTATCCCAGGGAACCTGCCCCTCCAGGCAACAGACAACGTAGGCCAGACTACAAGTCTTTTTTACAGCTTTTTAATGACATTCTTGTGTCCCAAGCCACAGTCTGGTTCGGTGACCAAATTGTCTTTTGGAGGCAAAATGCATACAAAGGGGTCACAAATGCAAATCGTTTTCTTCTGGATGGCGTGCACCTCTCCCAGAGGAGGATGAAGGTATACGTGCACATTCTCCACTGAATCAAATGCTGGCTGGACATTAAATCCTCAGTGCAACCTCATCTCAAATTGAAATCTTGTTAATTTAAAACCTCGTTGATTTGAACCTTGTTAATTGGAAACCTTGTTAATTTGAAACATTAGATTGAACCTCTTATGTTTAACTTCTAGTTTGGAATTAGTTTCTCTCTCCCTCTGTTTCTGTTCACCGCATCTGACCCTCCCTTGTTCTTCGCATCTGGGATTTGTCCCAAAAGGACCCTCCCCTTTCTGTGCATCTCAATTGGTATGGCTTTTTCAGCATCAAAGTCCTAATATCTTGATTTTCATTTGAACCAGTAGGTAGACAGACCAAATGGAGACCTATCACTTTTCGACTTGGTCCTGATGTTGGAGGACAGAGTTTTGTTGTGGATCGGTGGTGCTCTGTCCTTGTAGCCTCCACTCTTCTGTTCAGGCTGAGCGCCTTGTTTACTTATTCTCCCTGAGAAGCCCCATATGATTGTTGTGAGTGTGAAATTCTCTGTTGAAGGCCAAGCACCACATCTTGTTAGTTGGTAGGGCTTAAGTGATTTTCTCTGTTGAAGGCCAAGTCCCCCCCCCCCCCCCCCCTTCTTGGTACCTGGACTGTCAGAAGTCAAAATTTAAAGCACTCCTCATACTGCCAATTTTGTTAAGCTGTGATCATGGAATATAGGAACTTTATTTTCCTGTCTTCTCCTTGTTCCCTTATTTCAATGCCTGAAACGAACCCAATGCAGGTGGTTGTTTGCAGAAACAGGCAACCACGCCTGTGTTGCACTAGCCCAGGCTGGGGTTGTCCTCCAGCTTCCATGGAGTACTGCTGTTGGGTTCATGTATCTCCTGGGTTTCCCTCTTATTTGCAACTCACCAGCATCTGTAGCATCTCAGTTGCGTCTGGGGTTCATATCTAAACCTCTTGTATCCTCCCATTGTGGTATGTGTGTCCAACTGATTTGGCTGTAAATCATTCCCTCCTAACTTTTGAACTTTTCATGAGACATTGCAGGAACTGCTGTGGGGAGCCAGACAGAGACCCAATGGAGTGGTGGACTTCATGCACTCAACTCTCCCTATATAAACTGGCTGAAGCCTGTAATGTGATTGGAGCAGTGGACATCATGGATGAGGTGTACTGGATCTTCATTCTTAAATGAGCTTTGTGCCTTCCTTTTACAAAACCTTTGGTCCTTGTCATCCAGGCTCTATGATGACTTCATGCACAAAGTAGAAATCTTTTCTGTGAGAAACTTGCTTACACCCAGCCATAGACCCAGGCATTTTTTTTTAGTTCATCTGTTTCCATCATCAGTTCTTGGTCTTTCTCTACATTGTCGTGTGCTTGATGTTATTACCATTTCCAAGTGTATTTGGATTTGTCTTGCCCACTAAAAGACACTTGTTAAGATATCTATTAGGTTTAGAACCGTACTATGTAACAACAGCCCCATAACTTGTTTTATCCTTCCCATTGAATAGAAGGAGCAGAGGCAGAGTGGAGAGATGTAGAAGAGCAGGAGGCTTTTCATGGAGCTAACATAGACTTCAAGAGGCTGTACCACTTGCAGCTCCGAAAACTTCAGCTTCTGCAAAGCTGCCTTCAGTATGTTCCCCTCTAATTTTAATTTATCTTCAGTTTGAAGGGGAAGGTGGTGATTGTGATATGCTCCCATCCAGCAAGTTACTTGCTATGTAGCCTTATACAGCCTGTTATGGAGGCTTCAAGAGTAATGACAAACACCCTGAAGTAATTTATGATAGGGAAATGACTTTGGAATCAATCTGCCAGTTCCAGATGACATCGCAAACACAACTGATGTGATAAAACAAGTTAATACAAATGGGATGAAGTGAATTGACAACTCCCTTTTGTAATGGACCACCATGGGTGGGGATTTCAAATTGCAGCTCACTCTCATTATAACAGTTAATGAAGCTGTTGGAATTACTTCCCTATGCCAGGTTTTCATTTTATCAGGAAAGGGTCATGCATCTCCATTAAGAGAACTAAATCTGTTCTATGCCTGTGTATACATGATTTCTCCATCCTGTGGTTGTATTATGGGAGCTCAGTGGCTGGCATTTCAACAAATTAATGGCCAAAAACCCTGTGGGTGGGAGAAGCAATCTTGTGGTTAAATTGCCATTAAAATGCAGTGGTAACTAATTGTTAAAATTGTAAAATCCTCTGCTCTGTACAATGTATGCACATTCAAAAATCATGTAAAATGAAATTCTGATGGCATGAATGGGCAAAAGAGCTTGTTCCCACCCAAAAATCTCAGCAATGAAGAGCTTAGCAAAAGGTCTGAAGTGCTTATTCACCCACATTCACATTCCCCCTATCTGTGTATCTTTTTATATTTGGGCAGTTGCCAAAGTGCAGAGTGGACATAGAGAACTGCATACCATACAGAGTTTGAAATTTGAGATGGCCTGAGACTCCAAGACAAGCATTGATGTGTATGTGTCGAAACAACCTCCATGTCTTGGGCTTCCTTGTATTTCAAATCCTGTAATGCATATGAATAGTTGTTCCTTTAGTGAAATGAAAAATTTGATTTCCTCTACGTAAGCTTCAGCAAGCAGCAAGGACCTCTGCAATATTCACACTTTCCACATTGGAAGAAAATGTCAAAGTTTTGTCAGGTTCTGAGCTGAATTCTACCCCAAATGCTAGGACATTTTTGTTAATTTTTCTGTTGCAATCATTATCCAATGACATGATCATACAGGGTATTTCAAAAGTAACTATGCAGTACAGATATGACCAGTCTTATGCACAAAGATACATCATCCATAAAAATGTATTTATTGTTTGTGATAACATAAAGCAAAAACTCCATAAAACACATAAGGGGTAACAGAAGAGTTCATTTTTAACTGAAATTATGAACAGTTCAGCGGCAAATTCATCGCGATTGCTGAAAATGTGAATGGCTGTTTTGTTTCAATGCACAGTTACTTTCAAAACACCCTGTACATACACTCAATGTCCACAAAATTAGAGATACCTTACTAGTAGCGTGTTGGACCGCCTTTGGCCCTCAAAACAGCATCAATTCGTCGTGGCATGGATTCCACGAGGTGCTGGAAACGTTCTGCAGGTATCCCGGCCCATGCTGCTAGCAGAGCGTCACTCAG